CTCTCTCTCTCTCTCTCTCTCTCTCTCTCTCTCTCTCTCTCTCTTTCTCTCTCTCTCTTATCTGTTTCTGAAACTTTCTCTCTCTCTTCCTAACCAATATAACAACAAAAAACAACGAAAACACTTTGCATCCCCCTCCACCGGTTACAACACACTCCCCCCTCCCAATCTCCCCCTCTCCCCCCTCCCCCCCCGGCCGTCACTCCCTCATCGAAACGGCCTCTAAGAACGAAGGAAGGAGATGGTGAGACGCGATAAACCATTTCTGGTCGGGAGGAGATGAGAGAGGGTTAATAAACAAGGGAATAACGAAACAGAAGGAGAGGAGAGATAAAAGGAGAAAAGGAGAAAGGGGGGGGAGGGGGGTGGAGAAAGGGTATGCAAGGGTAAATAATTGAATAACAGATGGGTATATATTTCCTAAGCTGTGTTAGTTAGATGAATGGTGGGGGGGGAGGGAGGGAGGGGAGGGAGGAGGGTGTTCGCTAGGTTTCGGGAGGGGGAGGAGGGGGGGAAGGGGAGATGGGCGAGGTGGGGAGAAGTTGGAGGGAGGGGTCTATGTGTTTGTGTGTTGGGGGCAGATGGTGTTTGGGTGTATCCATACTGTGTTTATATGTGTATCTCTCTCTCTCTCTCTCTCTCTCTCTCTCTCTCTCTCGTCTCTCTCTCTCTCTCTCTCTCTCTCTCTTCTCTTTCTCTTTCTCTCTTTCTCTCTCTCTCTCTCTCTCTTCTCTCTCTCTCTCTCTCTCTCTCTCTCTCTCTCTCTTTCTCTCTCTTTCTCTCTCTTTCTCTCTCTCTTTCTCTCTCTCTCTCTCTCTCTCTCTCTCTCTCTCTCTATCTTATATCTATAGACAGATAAAATAAATAGACAGATAAGAGACAAAGAAAGAGAGAGAGAGAGAGAGAGAGAGAGAGAGAGAGAGAGAGAGAGAGAGAGAGAGAGAGAGAGAGAGAGAGAGAGAGAGAGAGAGCAGACAGATACAGACAGAAACAGACAGACTTAGAAATGCAACCAGAAATCAAATAAGACAGCAATATATATGTTTAAATACAAGGAAAAATCAAGAACTCCCCCCCCCAACCAAAAAAAAAAAAAAAAAAAAAAAAAAAAAAAAACCATAAAAAACAGACGAAAAGAAGAAGCAGAAAAAGAGAAAAACAAATCCAGACTCCCCATTTCTCTCGGCTTCACGGTGAGTCGAAAATGAGTGAATCTATATGCCTCAATCATCACTATTCAGTTATTCATACATTCTCATGCATGAGTAACTCCCAGATGCTCGACGGTGGCCCAGGCTCCGTCGGTGAGTGGGGGGGGGGGGAGGAGAAAAGGAGGAGGGAGGGAAGAGGGAATGGGGTAAGGTGAAGAGGGGGGAGAGAGGGAAAAAAGGAGGGAGGGAAGAGGGAATGGGGTAAGGTGAAGGGGGGAGAGAGGGGAAAAAGGAGGAGGGGAGGAAGAGGGAATGGGGTAAGGGGAAAGGGGGGAGAGAGAGGGGAAGGGGATGGAGGAGGGGGGGAAGAGGGGAGGAGGAAAGGAAGAGGGAATGATGTAAGGGGAATGGGAAAAGGAGGAAGGAGGGAAGAGGGATTAGGGTAAGGGGAAGGGAAAGAGAGAGGGGAAAAGGAGGAGGGAGGGAAAAGGGGAGCAAAGAAAGGAAGGGAGGAAGGGAAGGAGAAAAAGAAAAGGAGGAGGGAGGGAAAAAGGGAGGAAGAAAGGGAGACGGGAAGGGAGAGGGGAATGGAAGAGGGTAAAGGGAAGGAGAGAAGAGAAAGGGAAAGGAGCAGAGGGGGAAGAGGAGAGCAAAGAAAGGAAAGGGGATGATGGAGGGAAAGGGAAGGGAGGTAAAGGGGAAGGGAGGAAATGGAGAAAGGAGGGAGATGGGAGAAACATTGGAGAAGTGAACGAAGAAGAGGAATAAAAGGAAAAAGGAAGGGAGGAGAGAAGGGTGTTAGGGAGGGAGGGAGGAGGGAGGAGGGAGGAGGGAGGAAGGAGGGAGGGAAGGAGGAGGAGGAGGGAGGGAGGAAGAAGGGAGGGAAGGAGGAGGAGGAGGGAGGGAGGAAGGAGGGAGCGAGGGAGGAGGAAGAGGAGGAGGGAGGGAGGGAGGAAGTAGGGAGGGAGGGAGGAGGAGGAGGAGGAGGAGGGAGGGAGGAAGGAGGGAGGGAGGGAAGGAGGAGGAGGAGGGAGGGAGGGAGGAAGGAAGGGGTTAAGGAGGAGGAGGAATCTGTAAGCAGACGAGAATCAATATAACGAGTTGCTTATCTTGCGCCGACTTCGGTATATTTGTTTAAACAACGAGTTCCAATGAGGAGGAAAAAGAGGAGGAAGAAGAGGAGGAAAACGAGGAGCAGGAGGAAGAGGAGGAAGAAGAAGAGAAGGAGCGAGAAGGAGGAAGAGGAGTTGAAGATGGACGGAGGGAGGAAGATAAGGAGGAGGAGGAGGAGGAGGAAGAAGAAGAGGAGGAGGAGGAGGAAGAAGAGGAGGAGCGAGAAGGAGGAGGAGGAGGAGGAGGAGGAAGAGGAAGATAAGGAGGAGGAAGAGGAGGAGGAGGAGGAGGAGGAGGAGGAGGAAGAAGAGGAAGATAAGGAGGAAGAGGAGGAGGAGGAGGAGGAGGAGGAGGAGGAGGAGAGGAGGAGGAGGAGGAGGAGGAGGAGGAGGAGGAAGAAGAGGAAGATAAGGAGGAGGAGGAGGAGGAGGAAGAGGAGGAGGAGCGAGAAGGAGGTGGTAAAGAGAGAGAAGGAAGATAGAGGATGGAGTAAGAGGAAGGCGAGGAAGAATTTAAGGAGGAGACAGGAAGTGACATTAACTCTGTGA